GCCGTAGGTAGCCGTGGCGACGACCCATCCACTCGCCTCTAGCTCACCGGGCACATAGGGTGCGAAGTAGCTATGCACATAGTAGTACTTACTTCCTTGGTTAAGACCGTAAAAACTTCTTCCTTTCCCTGGCGAGGTCGAGTGGGTGGGATCTAGGTCAGGGTGCAACGTCGAAGCATCGTTCCAGCCTATACAAGGCACAGACTTCTTCGAGCCGTCTGCGTTGTCGGCTGAGAAGCGTTTGAGTGATGTAGGAATGATATTGAGACCCGAGACATTAGGTGCCTCTTCTGAGCCGGTGAACAGCGCTTGAAGACCCACACAGATGCCGAAGAAAGGCTTGCCGCTGGATATGTGGGCTTGAATGGCGGGGAGATAGCCTGCCGTGGAGAGAGAGGTTAGGCAATGACCAAAGTGGCCAACACCTGGGAGGATGATTTTCTGTTTGGAGAAGTGGGAGGAAGGTCAGACTCGGCCAGTATGAGGTACATTGAGTACAGGTGAGAAGGCAAATGAGACGAGAGGCAGAAGTTAGTCCGCCGGAACCAGCAAGCGGATCATATAGCAGCGCCGAGTCCTAAGTTCAGCCAACAGCCTCCAACACGAAGAGTCTTGTATATCTGGACTTCAACTAGCACTGGCACCTCGACGTCTGGCCTGGAAGGAGTGACTCCTTTGCTAAAGATATACAACATCGCCAGAAGAACCCAATATCTGCAGGTCGGATAAAGCAAGGCCTGCACGTGTACTGCAAAGCAACAACGACAGAGCAAGAGTCACGAGACTGGAGATTGCAAACACTTACATCTGCCTTTTCAACGTCCTGAGGACTCCGGATCCATTCAACTTCCCATCCGCACTTTTCAATGGCGTTCACCAACGAGCGAATGTTGCCCGCGACGTAGTCGAGCAGGTGGACTTTAGGCATCGTCCCTGTAGACCGGGGAGTCCTGTCTCCCGAATGGATAGACTAGAATGGAACCCGAGTCGGGGTTTTGGTAAGAGGCTGACAGGCAGGCTCAGTACGGGAAGCAGTATTTGGATGGTTGTTGTTCAAGGTAGATCCATCTCGTTGCCTGTTTCAACTAAAGTAACTCGACGTCGCTTTTTTTTCTGGGGATTGTAGTCGGAGCTCAGAGTGGGATGTGAATCATTCAATGACAGGTTGAGGTTGAGATGGAAAATGAATAAAAATCGTCGGCCAAATTTGGAAGTGAGTCACGCATTTTCATTGGCTGCTGCAGATGACGACGAAGAGAAAAAAATTGTCTGAACGGCCTCAATCACCTCCAAGCGAAGTGTAATGCATCGAGCCATTTACTGTCATCTGACATGGTATAACCAGAGCATTAGACAATTACTTCAGTCGTGTCATTCATCGTTTCTCCAGCGCTATATCATGACTGTTGTCTCGCCGGCCACCAAAGAGTCAAAAACTACTCCTGCAAAGAAAACACCAGTCCAGCTCCATCCAAACAACTCAGTTTCCATTGCCATATTGTACAAACATGTTGGTATCACATTTTTGGTCGTGTCTCTCATTGTGCCTGAGCCTAGTGAATCTCATCTACTGCGTTGTAGCCCTGATAGCCTGCAACAAGAGCGCAAAGATCAACCCTCTAGCCACATTTTCCATTTGCAAGCAGTCGAACACTTTCCCCAGCGCTTCTCCACTGGCAGCGGTGCCCATCACACTGGTCAAAGCCTGTGGCATACCTCTCTCAACAAGCAGTTTCCTTGCTTTCACCCGTAGCTTCTCCTTCTCTTCAGCAGCCAACTCTTTGGGCCAAGTGGACCTCTCTTCCGTAGTTGGGAGAGTGTTGTATCGCAGAGTATTGATATGTGTCGCCACTCCCTTATCGGAGAAATTGGCGTCGAGCACACTTTCCTGAAGTAACACACGTATGGACTCGAGCTGGGGATTGTTTGGACGGAGGAGGAACGTCTTCGCTGCCCCCAGGAGGGACAACCGGATGGACCACGCACCCGAGAGAGAGTAGAGCTCCGTGAGGATAGCGAAGAAGAGTTCTATCAGGATGCGCGTTTCTTCCTCCGAGATTGGAATATCCTTCTTCGCTCGTCGCGACGATGTCTGTGCTGGCACATTGTTCGTGGAGAGCGCAGAGCTAGAGTCTGCCCGTTTCAATGACTCAGCAGGCATTGATGGAATGGCCGTGATGGTGTCTTGACGAGGTCGTGGTGGCGTCTCTGGTTTAGGGAGCGTGATCGGTTGGTAGTCGTCCGACATGACACTTGGTGGTGGTGGCATTGACAGGATCTCTTCTGATTGACGCCCCGATTCAATCAAGCTGATCGGCGATTGAGCATTTTCCTCCTGAATCGCGACCCCAGCATTGGGTCTCGCGGGCAATGGGGGTGGCTTGGCTTCAACGCTGTCGGTGCTTTGTCGCGGCAGGTCCTGGCTCAATCGTGAAACTGAGATGGAGGACTGTCCTGTATGGTTTCTTGTCGGTGTTGGCCTTGCTGTGATCAGCCGCTTGGGTGCGCCGCCGACTCCGGTTGCCACGGCTCCAAAGACACCTTGTACACCTCCTAGCACCGCCTTGCCGCCACCAGCGATATTCTTGCCGCCCTGTCCCAAAACATTGATGAAGTTCTTGCCAACATTTTCCAAGGCAGCACCTCCCTGTACCAGAACATTCTTGCTCTGTGCAGGTGCCTTTTGGAGACCAGTCTCTTTGTCGAGGAATTTCTTCATAGCTTCCGTCTCGGCCAATGGCTCATATTTGACAACAAATCTCAGATAGGCCTCCAAGCTCTGAGACAGTGTCGCACTCGTCTGGCCTTTCCAAGCGGGCAGGTTTGGATACTTTTGCCCAAATTCTGGCACGCCTGAGATGCGAGCAATTGTGGTTAACGTCTGGTGAAGGGGCTCGAACTCTGGGTACTTGCGAGACACCATCCAACCAGGGTAGCGATGCGATGCAGGTTCTATTTGCAGCAAATACTCATTGTTCGGTCTCTGGCGGAACACGGCTCGTTCATTCATGTCGCCAAGGTCAAGAATCGTAATTGAAGCGTTGTGCAGTGTCAAGGGAACCGCCATCATGGTTTCGACGGGCGCCGGGGCGGTCGACACAGGTGGTAGCACGTTTGGTACTGTTTCCGCGAGCTGATCGAAGCTGGTGAAGGATTCTTGTTCTTTGCTGGGACTCGGAGTTGAGGACTCATAGGCATTGCCGTCGTTGTCGAAGACTAACGATGTGTCCAAAGATTGTTCTCCTTGTCGATTCCGATCACTACCTGAGGAGCTTGGTGTCGCCATTCCAACATCATTGGTGGCTACCGAACTGGTTTCTTCAGGTTCGCTTGGGCCCAGTCCGCGTTTTCGCCTGGCTTCGTCCTCAGCAATCATCTCGTTCAGTCTCTGAGCTTCCCGCATGGCCTCTTGCATTGCTTCTTCAGCCCTACTCATCCGACGATCGTGGACTTTGCCGTTATCAACATTCTCCTTCGCGTGCGACATAGCTTCATTCATGTCTTCAACGCCAGCATCGATAGCATTCATGAGTTCGGGTTCACCGTCCTGCAACAAGGAAACAATCCAGCCATTGATAAACTCCGGTTTCGAGCACATATCCACGGTAGTCTCTAGCACCAGTCCTGCTAGAACTTCTCGAAGGAAGGTTTTGACTGGAGGACAATTATACGACTTCGGCTCGAGAAAGTTCTGTAGGATATCGTCCGCCACGAGGTTGAGCTTGCGTTCTTGCTGCTCCCTGCTGAGAACATTGGCCAAATTGCTGTCCGGCTGGAATTGTAGGTAGGTTGTCACGGCAGTCTCTGCATCCTGATTAGACGACGCCTTGAGGGCGGTGGAGAGCTCGTTCAAGAAGACAATAATGATGGAAGTCGAATTGGCAAAGAAATCGAGGACCGGATCGGCAGTCCGTTTGCGCGAAAGATGGTTGGAGAAGGAGACGACGAAGCTGCTAAAGGTCTGTCTGCACCTCGCGGGAAAAGACTGGTCTCTGGGAAGAAGCGGACTATACCACCATTCGACGTAGTCTCTTATAACAGCATCGGTCAGCTGGGTGAGAGCGACTCTTGTTTCAGGCTCAAAATCAGAGTAATCCAGCGTCTTCAGATCGACTTTGGAGTCGCCGGGACTATAGTCCTCTTCGTTCTCGGGCTTCTGTCTCTTGTCTCGCCAGTCCAGCACTCTCTGCGCTACTTCAATGCCCAGCTCTTTCCTCCTCCTGTTGATCTCTTGATTGTCACCGTCCGCTTTCCCCCCATACTGATTTTCCCAAGTGGCATGAAGGACAACGCCGCCAACTGCGCCAATGAGGACTAGACCAACTCTCCCTAAGACCAGGTATGTAGAGGCGCAGAGGCCTACCGCGCAGGCCCCCAGAGTTTCATTGCTCGCATTCGCAAAGAACTTGAGTGTAGCATCGAGCACCGCAGACGTCGTCAGCGCTTTCGACGGTAGCGGTGGCGGGGCGGGTGTAGGATTTGATTGTGATTCCTGTTCGGGGACCGTGGATAGTTCGAGCTGAACACGATCGCCTTGAGGCGTTTTGAGAGGATGAGGTGTTTCATCCATGGCCACTTTCTCTCATAGTCATCGCATTCGAGTCCACTAGCGCAGACAAAGGCGTTCCTCGACGTGTTGTTCAGGTGCCAGCTTATGTAGCAGGGCAATTCAAAGGACACCGTTGAACCCGCATAAGCCGGCCTTTCGGAGCGCGTGTTAAGGCCCAGGAGGAAAGAAAGGGGCGTACGAACCCTGCATGGTTCAAGCCTCCGCATGGCGCGGATAATCAGATAGACGGACCCCTGTCGCCCCATCTAAAAAGTTTCTGCCGCAAATGAGAATTGTTGATTCGACGGCTGCACAAGAAGTTGTTCAAAAAAAAAAGCCCTGAATCTTTGGTGCTATTTTCTATCGACCGTTAATATCTATATTTCTTAGCACTTCCAGCAACCAGCAGTCACAGCCTGCGCCATGTCCGATCTACTTTGCTCAAGCTGCCATGAGCCTCTGCTCCTCGAAGTTGAGCCGGATAGTGATGTTGAAGATAGCAAAGCAAATGCCCAAATACAAAGTGTGCCCGATGACGTGGAATTGTCCTGTGGCTGCCATTACCATTGGTATGTGTGTTGCGAAGTCTCAGATTGCGGGGGCTCACTCATCTTGTCAGGGAATGTTTTCTAGAGTCCTACACTCTCACAGAATGTCCGAACTGCGCCAAAAACATATCCCTTCTTTCTTCCGATGGGTCGCAACAGGTATTGGTTACTCTCCGAAACGAGGGCGGTGTTCAAGAGCGTTATGATATCCTTCCGGCAGCCACAGAAGAAGCCTACCTGCGCGCATATCCTGAAGAGCGGAAAGGACATGCTTATTTGGAATTCTGCCGGGAAGGCGACATCGATGCCATTATTCACATGATAAAGGACTCCGACGAAGACGATGAACAAGACGACAGGAATACGGGTGATATATTGCGATATCGGGGCACGTTCGAGGGCATCGAGGGCTCGGGTTTACACGTCGCCATCCGATATAATCAACAAGAGGTGGCATGGTTACTGCTGGCTCTCGGGTCTCAACTCGACTGGGCCAAATTCCCCTCAGTTGTTCTCCAAGCCATGGAAGGCTTAGGACTGCGCCCCGAAGACAGGAAGGGTGAGCCAGACATTAGGACTCTGATCGACAGTGAAGGGCGAACACCCGCCGCATTGGCACGAGAGCTCAAAGGCGTGTGGACAGAATGGCTGAAGGAGGACCGACTGAATCCTTGACTTGTTTCAATTTGACTTGGTTTGTCACACGCCATAATTCTCGTATGGACCCGCATGCGTCAAAGGTCGACAGAGATCTAAAGCAATAGGCGTGGTATATTTATTCTGCGACGTCCGAGTGAATCATAGCAGAATGGAGGAGTGTTGCTGCTTGATGCAAAGAAGACGCCGGGTTGATGATATCTTGTCGAGTCAGGAGTCCTTGGTCTGCTCCCGATCTCGCAGAATGTATTTTGTATGGGTACCCTGAGCCACCACGCTTTTATTCGTCCCTTCACCTTTGTATATGGTCACAGTGGTGAAGCCCATGTTTCTTCCCACCTTGCTGACATTGCCCTCGATGGTCAGAACATCGCCCAGCTTTGCGGTTGAGACGTAGGAAACATGGATATCGGTGCTCAATCCAGTCTTTTCTAGGCCGGTACTGGCAATGGCCATGCCCCCTGCCCAATCAACAATGGTTGCGGAGACTGAGCCATGCAGACCACCTTTGGAATTGAGTAGAGTCGCTGAGACTGGAAGCCGAGCGACCATGGAGCCATCCGTGGCACTGACGAGTTCGATGTCCGAAAAGAAGAACTGGTAGACAGGGGAATTCTGGGAGACGCGTGCCCAACATGCTTGGACGCTCTCCAGAGGTGTCTTGACTGAACCCATCTGGGACAATTATAGTAAAATAGAAAGCAAATATTCAACTGTTGGTTCTATAGTCTTGTGATACAACGCAGAGATAGAGGAAAGGAAAAACGCTTATGGTCAACAAAATATGGATTGAAAACTCCAAGGCGCAGGCAAGGAATTTCGCCGCACACCGCCTTTTGGTTGGGGCCGGCAGAAAAAGTTACTGTTGCTTCTCCACAAATTGACACTCGCCGCAACCTCGAAATTTTTTGGCTCTCCAAACGTCTGGCAGCCACAGTATTGAGCACCGGCACAGCACCATGGCCGAATCCAAGAAGCGGAAGGCCGTAACAAGAGATGTTGACGAGGATGCAGCTGTGGTGTCTGGAGACGAATTCGATTTTGCACAACTGGATGGAACTCTTGCGGACGAAGAATCTGCCAGTGGAAGTGACGAAGACTACTCGAGCACGAGCAGTGGCGCCGAAGACGAGAGCGATGGAGTGTCTATAGGAACTGAAGAATCACCCCAAGAAGATGATGAAGAGCTACTTAAGCCCAAAAAGAAAGGACAGACAGAAGATGTTACAGAGGTGGACATTGGCATCCGGGATGTGGCCTCAACTTCTGAAGAGAAGGACCCGGGCACACTTGATGAAGAACCCAACTACAAAGTCGTGAAAGATGCGAACGGGAATGACAGATATATCTATCCCGAGATAGACCCCGGCGATGATTCGGATTATTCGGTCCCAGACAACGAAGCTAACACGATTGGGAATATTCCACTGTCATTCTATGACTCTTACCCTCATATCGGCTACAACATAAACGGGAAGAAGATCATGAGGCCAGCCAGAGGAGAAGCCCTGGACGCGCTACTTGATAGCATTGAGGTTCCCAAAGGATGGACTGGCCTTACAGACCCTGCCACTGGGAAACCTTTGGAACTCACCCGAGAAGAACTGGAGCTGCTCAAGAAGGTACAGATGAATGAGGTCGCCGCTGACGGATACGACCCATACGAGCCCACAGTCGAATGGTTCACCAGTAAAACCGAGATAATGCCTCTGAGTTCCGCTCCAGAACCCAAGAGGCGATTTGTGCCGTCCAAACACGAAGCAAAACGAGTAATGAAGCTTGTTCGCGCAATCCGAGAAGGTCGCATTCTGCCATACAAGCCGCCTCAAGATGAAGAGGAGGAGGAGGATGAAATACAAAAGTATGATATCTGGGCCGACGAACAACCCAGGGCAGACCATGCTATGCATATGCCCGCCCCGAAACTGCCTCCTCCGGGTTTTGATGAAAGCTACCACCCACCACCAGAATATCTTCCAGACAAAAAGGAGAAAGAAGCCTGGGAAAAGGCCGACGAAGAAGATCGAGAGAAAGACTACTTGCCCACGGATCATGCCTCGTTACGCAAGGTGCCAGGTTATGAGCGATTCATCAAAGAGAAATTCGAGCGATGTCTGGATTTATATCTTGCACCTCGAGTACGCCGAACGAAGCTCAACATTGACCCTGATTCACTCTTGCCCAAGTTACCAAATCCGGATGAACTCAGACCATTCCCCACACACGAGGCCGGCCGGTTTCATGGTCATAAAGGTCGTGTAAGGTCTTTGGCCATTGATCCTTCCGGAACATACCTAGCTACTGGTGGTGATGACGGCACTGCCAGGGTCTGGACCTTGATGCCTCCACGAGAAATCTGGTCTGCAAAGTTGGTCTCGGATGCTGCAGTCAATGTCGTTCGGTGGCGACCCGGAAAAGATACACCTATATTAGCTGCCTGCGCCGGCGAAAACATCTATCTCTGCAACCCTCGACTGGGCACAGACTTTAGCCCAGAAGTCGACGCTGCGCAAGCGGTCCTGGACGCAGGATGGGGATATGCGGCGTCCGAAAATACTACATCTAAATCCACAAGTGTCAAGTGGAGTCGACCGACCTCGTCCCAGCGGGATCAGAGGGTGGCTCTGGTCATTCACCTGGGACATACGGCGAAGACGCTATCATTCCATTCTGGCGGCAACCACTTTGTCACAATCTGTCCCGCAAGCAGCGTTCCAGCATCACAAGCCATTGCCATCCACACCATTTCAAAACATCAAACCCAACTGCCTTTCCGAAAGAGGCTCAAGGGAGGTGGTACTCCTCAAGCGGCACACTTCCACCCGACCAAGCCTATCCTGTTTGTCGCAAACCAACGTGTCATTCGAGCGTACGACCTGTCCAAGCAGACGTTGCTGAAGATCATCCAACCTGGCGCTCGCTGGATCAGCAGTTTCGACATCCACCCGACAAGTTCGTCCACCGCCGGCTCGGACAACCTGATCGTCGGGTCATACGACAGGCGGCTGCTGTGGATGGACCTGGATCTTTCCCCTCGACCATACAAGACTCTTCGTTTCCACGAAAAGGCCATTCGCACCGTGCGCTTCCACCCCGCGACGAACCGCTTCCCACTCTTCGCGGACGGCAGCGACGACGGCAGCATCCAGGTCTTCCACGGTCAAGTCACCAGCGACATGATGAGCAACGCCCAGATCGTCCCCTTGAAGGTGTTGCGCGGGCACAAGATCACGGGAGGCCTGGGTGTTCTCGACCTGGACTGGCATCCCCAACAGCCGTGGCTCGTGAGCGCTGGGGGCGACGGGACCTGTCGACTCTGGGTTTCTTAACACATGACTTGGATGCGGATGGATAGATAGATCTACACGATGTGCATACGTACGTACGGATGTACATAGCCTGTCAGAGTACCGCTTGTATGTCTGGCTAACGACCTGTGTCTGGTGATGTGGATATCAGCGTCTGGAAAGTTACTGTCCCTCTATTCTATGATATCTGGTCACGGCCATTGCTTTTCGCTTCGGATAGCAGATCTCCCTTCCCTCTGCTTTTCGTACATTTCTGATCAATGCATTCCATGTGTGTAATCGTACTGTCCTAGGGCCTTAACCACATGATTCGTCGCTGTCGATGACCCTCATACCATGCGGAAAAAGTAGATGTATGCGAACTTCTTCATTTCGTCCACGTCCGCCGCCTTGACAACCTTTTCATCATTGAAGAGAACCCACTGTCGATCCTTCCCTTCTCCTGGAATCGATTTTCGAATGAACGCGACATAATGACCGGCATGAATGCTTGCGCCTTTGTGGCAGACAATGCTCTGAAGTTCAAACTTGGCAGGCAATTGATCGCTGCCGGGGAGTGCCTTTGGCTGACTGGCAGTGGCAGGGATATCTTCGCCGAAATCCCCTTGATCGTCAGGGTGGCTGAAGACCCAGTCTAGAGCTCGATTGACATCACCATTGCACTCCCGCAGTGCTTTGCGTGCTTGTGGCACACTAATACCCATATCACCAAGCTGAGCAATCTTGTCAGCATCGTCAGCTGAGCCAGTTCCACCGCCGCCACCACCACCACCAAGATTCAGAGGTTCGTCAATATCGGGGTCATCCATGTGCGAAAACAGCCAGTTCATGGCGGCCTCGGCGTCTGCGTTGCCTGTAGCGTGAAGTGCCTTTTCGCAGCGTACTAGAGGGAAACCCATAGACGCAAGTTGCTCAAGGGCGGCCTCGTTCGGGATGAATGTAGCTGAAGACGATTTAGACTCTCCCACGTCTGCATCTTCTGGCAGTTCCTCTTCGCCCGGTTGCAAGCCAGAAGATTTATATATGCTTAGGTCCAACGGCTCATCTGACACTTGAACAGGGATATCGAGTTTAGTTGGCACCCAGTTGATGATTTCGAAGCGAAGAGGATTGATTGCGAGGTTGCGGGGGAACGTCTTGAACTTGGATGACTTCGAAAAGCCTGCCTTAGAGCTACAAGCGGGACAGGTCAATTCCACGGAAGTGGAAGCGGTGAAGATGTCCAGGCATTCCTTGAGCGACACTGGCTCGAATTCGGCACCCTTCGTCGTATCTGCTGTTTCACCGTCACCGTTAGATACGGGTTTCCTCCTGACCGGTACAGGAATTGAGATGTTGTCTTGCTCGTCAGTTCTATATCGCACTCGCTTGCAGTTCAGACACTGCAACCGTTGCTCCAGTGCAAAGCGAAAAGACTGGACGGGGTCTTCCGAAGGGCGAGATCCGTTGGAGATATTGATGAGCTTGAAGAGATGGAGGAGCAATTCAAAAGCGTCCTGTTGCCTCATAGTTGAGAACTCTTCATGTCCTCGTCCGATCAGGTGTTTGAACATGGCGGGGGAGAGACCTTTCTGATGCGGTACTTCCGGATTGTCGGGAGTAGCACGAACGGTGTTTTCGGGACGAGAATAGCGGCCGGAGAGTATACCGTCAGCGAGCTTCCGCAGCTGTGTCTCTAGGTCTTCGGCAGGGAGTTCAGTGGCTGGAGGCGGTTCGTCAGGGTGGTAGTACCGCTGTTGAAAATCCGGCAAGGCGAACAGGCATTGTACAGTGCTTGCAAGGTAGCAACTGTTGCCAATATTCTTTAGACCAGTGAGGCCAGGCCCAAAGAGTGGGGATAGCTCTTTGCCATCTTCTGTTGTCATTGAGAAGTCCCATTTCAAATTCTGTTCCACCTGCATCTCCATGAGGCTCTTTTCAGTCTTTTCCCGTTCCGCAATGTTGATGCCCCAGTGAGCGAGGTGCTTTGCAAGGTCTGTATCAATCCGCTCCTCATTACACTCGTAGCAATAGACGTCGGCATTGCCTTCCGGGGTGATGGAACCAAGCTTGACGGCAACAGCATGACCGGTCTCTGTTGCATGACCCAAGCCATGGGAGTTGCCACCAATACCACCGAACTGTGCGCGGCCACACCCAAGATTACCACATTCCAGGCAGAGCCACAGGTTCTCCTTTAGATCACACATGGAACATGAACCCAGGTTTTGTGATTCAATCTGTCGGCTAGGCTGCTGCTCCAGACAGAGTGTGTGTTCGCACGGCGTGAACTCTTGCTCCCAAGCCTTGACTTCTTCTGATTTGGCAAAAGTCATGGCCTTCATGACTCCATCCACAACTGCAGGTAGATTTCCCGAGTCCTTATTCAGATCTTGTATTTGACATGCATAGCACTTGACTCTTGTCACTGTATCATATTTGTCCTCCTCTGTTTCCGCGGCAATGGCGAGTTTGGTGAGCTTTGGTGGGGGCTCATCTCGTTGGACTTGTTTCCGGGTTCGTTTGATGTTTAGAACGAGTGGATGTTCCGTAGAGGAGTAGTGGAGTAGCGAGTGATTACGATCTCCTGCGCAGCCACCATTGAAGCAGTGCAGGCAGACGTCAAGACCAGCTTCATCGTCTATGGAATCGAAACATTGGGTGCAGTCTTCGCGGTAGACACTCTGGTTAGGTCTGGGGGGTCGGAGAGTATCTAGATAGGCATGAGGACACTCCATTATGACTGCGAAGTAAACTGAAATGGGCTGAAAGGCAGAAAACCACCTAGGTTGATCCGGGACAAAGAACGATGAGGTTGAGAAGGTCAGACAGAGGCACAAGAGCAGCCCGCAGTTAAAGTGACGAGGCTACGGTCACCACAGCTGCAAGGCTGACATGCTTCGCAGTGGCGCTGATTGGTTAGTAAGCGTCGAGGGGGAATCGAGGGGAACAACCCCTCCAAAAGCAGCAGCACCAACCGCCAAACTGGGCAACTTGTCGAACCGTGTTTCGGTGGTGCTTCAGTTGTAAGCCAACTGCCACCTAGCGAAGTCAAACATGGACTCCCTCGATGTCAGTCCTGGGTGACCAAACATCATAGATACCTTGTTTTACATGCCAATTCCCACGTTGAAGAAGTCATTTATGCGGCTTATGGCCATCTCTCGTGTGCTCCAAGGATACCGAGACTGTGTTGTTGGTGGATTAACTTGACCCTTGATGGATTCATCTTGGAATTTCGCGACCCTGGACTGAAGCCTTGTGTGTCTGGTCAGGTATCCTACCCAACATGGCCCTATTACAAAATGAAGAGTAAGGATGTTCCCCTCAAATGTACCGCGGCGGACCGTCCGGAGATTCTGGCTCAGTTGTTATGAAATCGATCCCGCTGACTTAGACGCCAGTTTTGCCATCTGGTTTCTGCGCACATCTTACCTTGGGAGTGCGAAAGACGGCACTGCAGAGCGACTCATCAATGTTAACTCATCAATCTTGAATACTCCTGGGTTCCGCGCAGCAGGCTGGTCAGCGGACCCTGTTCACCGGACATACTCTCCGCCCATTCCGACCTCGATCAACAGCGAGTATCTTAAGGAAGGCTCCGAGCTGCAGCGGATAAACTCCCAGGCTGACGAAGAGGATGAAGGTGGCCTCGTCACTGGTAGAACCAGCAACGACACCATTGGTCCTGGGTTTAATGTCAGGCGAAGAAGGAAAAAGGAACATGTTGAGGATGACGATAGCAGCGATCTCACCGACGAGTCTGACGAGGAGGCCGACGGTGCACAACGTGCTGCGCAGCAAATTCGTTTCGCAAAGATGCCTTCCCGCCATCGAGCCGACTCATCTCCCATCCGCGGCTCGGATGTCGACGGGGAAAGGACATCCCCTTTGGCAGGCCCTACGGACAACAGGCGCCGAACTGGCTCTCTTGGTGCTGTCGAAGCTGTCAAAGCTCGCGCCAGGCGAGATACCACCACAAGCAGCGATATGTCTTCTGAGAATGAAGTCGACCCGGCCTATTTCCAGCGTCGCCAAGTCCATGCAGGCCAAAGGTCTAAATCTGCACCCAACCCCGACGAGGCTCCTTTAAGGGTCAACGCAGGTCCAGGTCAACCAGGAGATGTGCAAGATGACTCTGATGCGGAATCTGTTGGATCTGCAATCTCTTCCGAACTGGGCGAGACCATGGACTCTGCATCACTCCTCAACACCATGGAGGAGAGAAACCTTACATCTACACCGCCCACGCTCGGCAGTTTGACCGGCTCGGGCTCTCGTTCATCTCTACCAGAATCACCCAAAAGGCAACGGACGTTGCCAATCCTGCATGAGCTACCACCTCCTCGACCTATTAGTATGATACAGCCCAAGAGTCTACTCACAGCGGCCCTCGGTGCTCAAAAAAGGGCCCCGAGCAACCCCGTACAGGCATTTGCCGGTCTCTCTGGCAAAGGCACTCCTAACCCACTTTGGGTCAAGATATACACACCGTTCGCTAGCGATGCCGATGAGCCTTTTGAGATGCCACTTGCTCGTAACTCCAAAGATGGTAGTCTGGTCACCGTCGCAGAAGCGATCGGTCACGCTCTGTGGAGATATGGGGAGGAAAAGCGGGAACCTCCTCTCAAGCCCGAACAGCTCGATGTCAACAAGTGGACATTACGGATGGTGGAAGATGGAGAGGTGGATGATGATTTCCCACCGCTCGTCCGTACGAGGCCAATAGCGGACTTCACGTACAACAACAACAGAGGTGGTCGAGGTCGCGCAAGAGATCGTCCATTTGATGAGTTTGCGCTTGTCGAAGCTTCTGCGGCTCAGTATGAAGCGAACAAAAGGGAAACGCCTCAGTTCATACCAGAAGCAGCAGTGGAAGTCGGCCCTGTCGCCGCGCTTGACGGAACTACACCCCAATCTCAGGCACCACCTCCTCCCCCAGCAAAAGCACTGCCGTCACGGACCAACATTCTTCTGGCTGGCCAACCATTCACCTCTGCGCTGAGCAACACATCTTTAACGCCTGCAGATCTCCCAGCGCCCGCCGCACCCCAGGCTACTCCACGAATGGGCGCTACAAAGACGATTCGAATACGATATCTAAACCTCGAAATGACCGCCCAGACAATGACTATGGAGATTTCGACGGATGGTTACATTGCTGAGATTTTAGACCATGTCTGTAAGAGATGGAATCTTGAAAAGGCTGGATTCGTGCTAAAAGTGGCGGGGACAAATACTGTTGCACCCTTGGATCGCACTGTGGAAGCTCTAGGGGCTCGATCTGAGTTGGATCTTGTGCGTCGAAGATTCGGTGCCGGTGCCTCTTTGACAGGCTCGCCGGGGAGCTCTTCGCCAAATGCACCACTCTTGCTAGACATTCAAGGTCCCAAGAAAGGCAAGAGAGGTCAGCCGCTCCATCCGTTGGCGCAGAAACAAGACCTTTTATCGAGTGCCAGCAACTTCAAGAAGTATTATGTCACGCGCAAACAGCTAGGCGGATTTGCTCAAGGGAGTCAAAGGGTGCTTGTGTTTGATGGCGACATTATCCATGTCATGCCGGCAGACACCAGCTCCAATGCAAAGTTCAGCTCGATCGCATTCACCGATATCCTGAAGTGCAAGGTCAGCTCCAAGCACCCCAAGCTTGTTCGAATTGTAGTGCGAAGAATTAACGAGTCGAAACGGTATGACTTTGAGGCGCGCACAGCAGGCGAGGCGCAGGAGATTGTGGACGAGGTAACACGGGAAATGAGGTTGGCACGAACATGAGGGAAGCGAGCTTTGCTGGATATGTATCCAGATATACAGGACATTATCTGTTCGGCTGTTTTGTTGGCGGCGTCATTGAGCGCGAGGACGAATACCTGTACACAAAGTTGCGTCCATGCACCGTACTATGTACCCAGGTACATATAGGGCTTTGTATGGTTAGGCGTGGTGGGCGCATTGGGCGTTCTTAGCGGGATTATGTCACCCGGGGATAGCGGGCATAGACAGCGGTGGTGCGGACAGCCCCGGCAAACCTCGGCTGGGTCGGCCAGTGGGTGCCTTTATCTACGACATACGTAAGGAGGGGTAGCTCTTCCACCACCACGAGCCAGATACTAGTGGACCGTGACATACGTGGCTGAAAGAGGCGAGGTGAGGGGGCAGAACTGGGAATTGACTAGGCAATAGACAAGCAGATGAAGAGGAATGAGAGGAGCGACAAGAGTTGACGAGCAACAAGCTGCCTGTGAAAGGGCGATTGTCTGGTAATCAGTCTCCCCACGTCTCTGAGGACGAAGAAAACACCATCTCTCGCCTGGCTGCCTGCAATCGCCACAGCCTGCGTCTACCCGCAGTGCTTAGTGCTGGCCTGGGTGTTGGTGTTGGTGCTTGTTCTCCTTGTTCACAATCTAGATTCCGCACAGCTAATCCACCGGCTACTGTAACCCCCCTCGCTCTTTGCTCCCTCTGTACCGCCCGGCATTGGCCCCTCACCAAATGATGCTCATCACTGGTGCCCTCATCGCCAATAATATCATCCACCACACCCAAGCTCAACAAGTTCGCCCTCCATCACCCTCTTTACCTAACCACTGAATACTAGTGACGACCCAGAGTGCTCCCCCAGCTCCTGGAAGAAGGGACGCAGAAAGTTCAAAGATCCCGTCTCTCAGCTTTCCAACTTGGAGCTCCGACCTGCCCTTTTCATTCCTTGTCTGTGTTTGTGATACACAACCTGTCTCCCCCAGTTCGATTGTGCTTCACTATTCCTTGAAAGGACCGAAAAAAAAGGAGAAGGTGTCAAAGTTCGATCTCAATCCTGACCGATCTTATTGTCGCGGTCGTCACCTTCCCCCTCCACTCTTTATTGGAGCTTATCAGCTTGCGCTGCAGCTTCCCAGCGACCAGCCCATTACCCGACCGAATAATCGAGCAAACTGTCTTGGATTGATCCTGGCCTCTTTTCTACTTTTGCTGCGAGCTGCGAGCTGCGGCTGTTGCTACCCCTCCCCACTTCGCAGTCCATTGCCCTGCCTCAACTAATTCCACGTTCCACGTTGCGACTCGGTGGGCAGTCCAACAGGCCTCCAAGCTCCTGTGAATCATCCTATTGTTAGCATTCCAGCCTTTGGGAACGTGCGCTTCCCTGCGTCACCCAAATGCCGACCTTTGGAGGTCTCCTCAAGAAAAAGAAGACCAAGGAGTCTTCTGACGACAAGTCCGCTCAATCAGGCGGAGGCAGTTATCAGCCTATTCAATACAAGTCCTCACATAAGACCGACACCTCATCGCCTGTCCCTTCCAAGACTACAGGCGCCTCCGATGTACCCTCCCAAGCCACCACGGCTGTGACAACCACCTCCACTCCAGAACCTCATGCCAAGACGATCGAAAGTAACGGCGGCGTCGATATGAACGCTGCTCCTGTTGTCAGCCCTTCCGGGGGCGTGGTGGATTCCAAGCCGGTGCAGAGACAAACGAAGGGCAAATACACCCTCTCGGACTTTGCAATCCAGAGGACCCTGGGCACGGGCTCGTTTGGGCGGGTGCACCTGGTTCAGTCAAAACATAACCAACGCTTCTATGCCATCAAAGTCCTGAAGAAGGCCCAAGTGGTCAAGATGAAACAAATTGAGCATACAAATGACGAAAGACGTATGCTGCAACGTGTCAAGCACCCATTCCTCATCACACTGTGGGGAACGTTCCAGGATTCAAAGAACCTGTACATGGTCATGGACTTTATCGAGGGTGGGGAGCTTTTCAGTCTGCTTCGAAAATCTCAGGTAATACCTTGTGCTTGATTTGTCTGCTATCAAGCTAATGTTGAATTTTTGCGACAGCGTTTCCCTAATCCTGTAGCCAAGTTCTATGCTGCCGAAGTCACGTTGGCACTGGAGTATCTGCACGGGCAGAACATCATCTACCGCGACCTGAAGCCGGAAAATCTGCTATTGGATAGACACGGCCACGTCAAGATCACCGATTTTGGCTTTGCCAAAGAGGTGCCTGACATTACGTGGACCCTTTGCGGTACGCCAGATTACCTCGCTCCCGAGGTTGTAGCCTCAAAAGGGTACAACAAGTCAGTCGATTGGTGAGCTTGCCTGTCGCCGTGTTTTGAGCGTCCACACTAAGACGTCTCCAGGTGGTCTCTGGGGATCTTGATCTTCGAAATGCTGTGTGGATTCACTCCCTTCTGGGACGGAGGGTCCCCCGTCAAGATCTACGAAAACATCCTCAAAGGAAGAGTCAAATACCCTCCCTACATTCATGCTGACGCTCAAGACCTTCTGGTTCAGCTGATCACAAACGATCTGACAAAGAGATTGGGCAATTTGCACGGCGGTCCAGCAGACATCAAAAACCATGCGTGGTTCGCGGAGGTTACCTGGGAAAGACTGCTGAAGAAAGATATTGACGCCCCGTACGTCCCGCCAGTGAAAGGTGGAGCTGGTGATGCCAGTCAGTTCGACAAATACCCCGAGGAGACAGAAGAATACGGCAAGAAGGGAGAGGACCCGTATGAAACCCTAATGCCAGCTTTTCTAAATGCGTGAGAGCTGACAAGATACTCAGATTCGGCCATTTCTTCGTGGACTTTTGATTATGACGTCGCCACAGCGAAGATCGAAAGGAGCATCGTACAAAATGCTACCGAGTACGGAGTACCAGAGACAGACGACCAGAAATCAGGCCTTGTCCCTGTGGAATGACGGCCAGATATTCTGGTTCAATACGACATGAGCAACAACAAAAAAAGTGGCCCCGGATTCGATTTGTGCTGCAGCCGGTGCAGTCCTCGTATTAACGAATTTTGATGATAGCGGATACGGCTCTCAGGGAGAAGCCACCATGAAAATCTGGTGGTGAACGTGGTTTTTTTGGATTTGTGGTTGCAGTGTTTAGTGGGCCGCGGCGGTTGTGGATGTTGTTGTTGCTGTGTATAATGATGGCGACGATGAAGCGAGGAGCGGAGAGCAAGAAGCAGGAAGCTGAAATATCTATGATGACTTCAGAAGGCGATATGGGGAATCGCACAAAGCCCTCGGTGCATTGTACCAGGACAAGATCGGCACGGGTGGCCATGAGATATCGACTTTGCATACTTGCCATTCAAGAAGTTATCCCTCTGATGCACAGATGCAGAGCAGTTGAGCCTTGGATGAGCCTCTGACTTTTCAATGCAGTAATTTTTTGTGTCCTCTTCAAACACGTCGCATCTGATCTGTCGGGAGAAGGAAAAGACCAGAGAAGCAGTAATACCTAGTGTTAAGCGGTCCGCGGCACTGGCGCATGAACTACTCGTAAAGATCATTCTGCTCCATCCATAACTGCATCAAGCATGTCTTTGGAAATTTGGTTGCTTTTTTCAATTTTTGACGGTCCCCTAAAATAAAGACTATTGTACAGCTATGTTGTGGAATCGAGATCTATACAAAGCAAGCGCGAGTTTATGGCGAAACTCGTAACATGTAAACCACCCCAAACAACGACGTTTTTGAGGAGTGAGTCAGCAGAAGATCTCTGTTGAGAGGTGAAAGGAAGGCTGCTTTGTTGTATACATCTGAGAGGCGTGTGTAGGCTTCGAAAAAGCGCTGAGCCGACATCAACGAGGCTCCAAGTCGACAGCAGCTGGAGCGTTGGAAGTGCTTTGGTGGGCGACCACAGCACTCGCTGTGATCGGGTGTCCAGTGCATCATGTACAAAAGAGCACCGGCTCATCATGGAAGTGGTCGATTGATCGAGTCTGAAGATGGCCAGCCTGGCCTCGTCCCATGCTCCTCATGCTTGGCTTGTGGCTCGCACCTTTTGGGAGTCAACCAGGTTCCAATAATATGGATGCTTCTAGGATCCTGCTTTCTCCAGCCCCAGCCTCATGAGGCTGGCCTTCGCAACGTCACTGTGCGAGTCCGCTCAAAAAAGCTCTTTTCCCCCTCCAGCACCCCCAATGCCACCGGCCAACGATGCGCTCTCCCTCTGCAACCTCGCTGTGTATGTCCGGCTCGTGACGTTCCATGCATCAATGTACTTCTCCATACACGCGGTCAAGCACTTTTGTTCTGCCGAGCTCAGACTGCTGCCGGGATTGGGGACGCATTTCTCAAAGCAATTCGTGTGGACATTGGAGATTAGCTGCTTTGCGTTGGCGACGTTGGATTGCTCGCTGATAGCGGACTGGATGCGCTGGAGTGTCACGCCCGGCGTCGTCGTTGTACCGCCAGTAGACGAGAATGAGGAGGATAGAGGGTTCGTGACAGATGTGGACGAAGAGTCGGAGGATGATGATGTCGATGAAGAAGAGTTGTCTTTGGACGAACCGCCGCCGAAAAAGCCGCCAAAGGCCATTTTGTCACAGTCTTCTGATTATGTATTGACGATCTCTGTCGTCTTGAGTTCCTAAGTCGGATGGGGCTTCAGGTGTGCCGTGGGATTTGTTTGGACAGCGTTTCTGTTGCAGGGGGAAAAGTACCTCTACAAGAAATGTTCACTTGTCGGGTTGTTCAGAGACCTAGTTAAGTTTTACCAGGCAGGTTGGCCGGCCGTGGTAGCTCGTAAAGCCATGCTGCTGGCCGCCTATAACAATTGGCCGGAGTGACTTAATTGGCAGGGGCCCCATCGGCAAACCATTTCGTGTTCTCCACAAGCCCCAGTTCACCTGCGTCGAATAGTCTGGCGAAACTGAACACCTTTACAGTAGTCCGACGTGACAATTTCACTTTTTTCTGCGCCTTTAAGGGGTGCCTGCGACAACTATTGAAGACACAGCTGTGGTCTTG